CGAGGGTCGACTGGCTGTTTGGGAAAGCTATAAGACTTGCATGGGTTTTTGGGCATGGGGGTCAGGTGGTCAGCTGTAGCCTGTGAGATCCTGTTATTTTATTGATTTGCCCCAGCGGCCATTATAGGCTTTTCATATCGTTGTTCAGTTTTGTACTGCTGGAGACAAATGAGGACTGAACCATTTTAAGTCTAAACATCTGCACATTCAAAGACAGGAATGTCTGCAGGATGACCCATTTGAAAATATACATCCACCAATAAACTGAGTTCAGCAGGTAGCAGCCCCTGGATGACCTTGTTAAGCAGGGTTGAACCTGGTGAATACTTGGATTGGAATCCACTAGGGCAGGGTTCCTCAACCTTGGCAACTTTAAGGCGGGTGGACTTCAACTCCCAGAATTCCCCAGCCAGCAAGCAAGCAAGCAAGCAAGGGAATTCCATGGCTGTAGGTCAGACTGGGAAATAAGGATGTCCCAGAAGAGGACAATGGTAAACCACCTCCATAGAGTTGGCATGAAAGCTGCATGAGTGGGCTTGTCTCTGTCTTTACCTTTCCTTAAAAAGTACCCTCAAGGGGATGCCTGACAAGGAAGTGGACTGAACATCTTTGTTGCTTGGCTTGATAGTGGCTGATGAAGGTGCAGAATGTGACTTTGGGATGGGATATCACAGTACACTGCTGCACTTTATTTGGGATATGGTAGCAAATGAGGAAGAAGAGTGGATTTAGGGGCAATTTTGTGCAGAACCTGTTGGCGTAAATCATAAGACAGCGTGTGGGCTTTTTAAAAGGATTGCCGCTTAGATATGTCTGGCTTTGAAGAGCAGTACCAGAATCTGCAACTGGCCTAAAATAGAACCAGATTGTTTATCCTATCTGCACTACTACTTAATTGGTCCAGACTAGGGACTGGCAAAGTGATGTAGGTTGATGAGATCAGCTACTTGGGTCAACATGCAAGGCTTTAGGCCTCTCAGAATGAATTCAGACTCAAGTGAGTTCTTGGAAGTTTCATAGGCAATGATTGCTGAACATTTACTTTGGTTGCCTTGTCAAAGAATGGGACAGTTACATTTATAAATAATTCATAATCTATTTTGGGGCAGCACTTCTTCTTGTACAATGCTTGGAATCTGTCCTCTTAAATGCAAGGAATCTTGAGAATTGACAGTAGGCTATTTTTGATCACTTGGCACTGGGAGCTTCATCCTTTTTTTATTATTTTTAGTGGCATCACATTATGGTGTAAGCTTGCCACTCTTTAACCTCCTTCCATCCCTCTGCTGCTCACAGTGGATGACAGAATCCTTATTTTTATTTATTTATTTATTTATTTATTTATTTATTTATTTATTTATTTATTTTTGAATTTGTATGCCGCCCATCTCCCCCCAATGGGTGACTCTTAATACTGCCGTGGATTGTGTACAACAGGGAAAGATGGGGAAAGCAGCTTGGTTACCTTATTGCAATTTACGATTTTGCACTTTGTACCATGATCAATAAGATCAAAACAAGAGCATTCTGTTGCTTATTTTTTGCATAAGCCACCGGAAGAAAGGTGGAGTATTGGTGCTTTACCCGTGAAACCAAGTTAGCCGTTTCTAATCGACTCTTTCCATGTCTTGTCTTGTAGTCTGTCAAGGAACTGCATATTCCCTGCCACGCAACCAAACTACTGAATGAAATCTTTCCTTCCCCACTAAGCTACATGCTCTTGCCTCTGGTAACAAAACACCTTTCATTAAATAATCATGGGGATATCCCTCAATAATTTATCATTGATCTATGATAGGCTGTGGTGCACCCATTCATTCTGAACATGGTTTCAGGTATGCTGAGAAGCGGTTGCACATTCAGTGAGATGCAGCAGGGTGGAAAGATGGGGCAGAAGAAAGAATGAAGCAGAATCTCTGTATGGAGAGTTGTGCTTCTGATATCTTGTGGGGCATTGCAAGAGATCTGAAGGAGGGAATAATGGGATGCACAGGGCAGTGACTTAGCATGATTGCAGCAACTGTTTCGATCTGCCAGATGATCCATCAAGTGAGGGGTGGGTGTAGTGCTCACTCTTGGGGTACTTTTCCTCCACTTAAGAACATGAAGTACCCTAAGGTCTCCTTCAACTTTTCGTATTCAGTCTGCACTTTCTACTCATGACTTTTGTGCTCCTTCCTTCCTGAGATGAAGTTAGGTTTGCTTGGGGATTCTTCCATTCATTGGCTCATAGAACTGTTTAAGCTGAAAAGACACAGATGCTCCAAGGTCACTCTATGAATTTTACTTTGGGAATTTGAACCCAGCTGATTCTTGTCCTGTTCCCACTGCCATGTAGGCTGGCATGTAGACACAGGAAGCATATCATCATCATCATCATCATCATCATCATCATCATCATCATCATCATCATCATCATATTTGATTGAGAGCCCTATTGTGCTCTGCTCTGATGGTACTTTATACTTCAGCAAGATTTTAAGGTCAAGATTTGGATACAGTTGCTCTGCTTCATTCCCAAATTCCTCTAGGACAACCTGATGCCTTCAAACTGTGTGGGATTTAGCTCCAATAATTCCAATCCAGTTTGGCTGGATTATCATTTTTACTAGTCATGCTGGCTGGAAACTATGGAAGTTATGGTGCTGTGCTTCTGAAGATTTGGGCAAAGATACAGATATACATTTACAATGGAAGGTGTTACCTTTTATTTTTGGTCATTAATTGCCTCATAAATGAGAAGGTGGCTTGGAGAGAGAATATCTTTGATGTACTGTATTGCAACATTACAATAATAATACTCCTACTCAAGGTTATGGAAGAGTTTAGTTTCACTAACACCCAGGAATGTTAAGTATCTGTTATTATCAACCCATGATGGATTAAATTATCTGAAAGAAAATATGGTAAGGCAAGATCAAGTCTTGCTAAATAAATTTCAATTGTTGCCAATAAATATGATTCCTCATTGGTAATTTTTGTCTCTACAGGGAATATAAATAAAAAATTGGCCAAGTAACCAATAGGTGACATGTGCTTTAGCCTGAATGCATAGTATATAAGCTTCTACAAGTTGTCCTCGTTTAGTGACTGCCTCATACTGCGACCATTCACAGTTACAATAGTGATGAAAAAATAACTTTGCAGCCAAGGCGTGCATTTACAACCTTTGCAGGTCTGTAAAGCAAAGGAAAGCTGAAGTAAGATTGTAAGCACAGTTGCGGTTTCACTTAGTGACTGTTTCGCTTAACAACTGAGTTTTCAGTTCCAATTTTTGTTGCTAAACAAGGACTACCTGTAGTTCCAAGTCTTATGTGGCAATTGTTTATTATTGCTGTTATTATAATTGCATTTACAACCTTTGCAGGTCTGTAAAGCAAAGGAAAGCTGAAGTAAGATTGTAAGCACAGTTGCGGTTTCACTTAGTGACTGTTTCGCTTAACAACTGAGTTTTCAGTTCCAATTTTGGTTGCTA